AGTGAATAAGCTTCATTATTCTTTATATTTATTACTAAAAAGTGTTGTTAAAGTATTCTAAATTGACAATTGAATTGAAATGTTTTCCTGAAAATCCTTATTATTCCTTAATATGGTATGGTAACGTGTGGATGAGTATAAAATATGAATTAAAACAATTTTTTTTAGATTAGATTTAAGTTATAAGCGACCCTAAATTTACCGGACACGCAATTGTGTCAGCTTATTCGTGGCGAAGTGGAGATCAAAGGGAGATAACTCCGTACACACATCGTAGGACATTACAAGTTCACAAAAGTAAATTCGATTAAAGATAATGATTGTAGTTATATTTCGACACCTTCCTGATTAACTATTCCATATTTCATATTCCTTTACTTTTGTAACATTAAAATAGTCATGGAATTGTTGAATATGGCATTTGTTCAATTAATTACAGGTTTACCTATTAAAACGTTTAAACCCGCTGCATTTGTTTGCACCTTTCCTAAGTCAGGAACCTGATGTTCAGTAGTTGTCGATGTGGTTCATAACTGTTTCTCGTTTCCTGTTTTTTTATATATATTTAGACCGTTGGTTTTCCCGTTTGAATGGTTTTTCTAGTAATTTTTGGGGCCCTTTATAGCTTGTTGTTCGGTATGAGCCAAGGTTCCGTGTTGAAGACCGTACTTTGACCTATAATGGTGTAAAATTAGACTTCATTAAAATTAATTCATATTGATAAAAAAAAAATCTAAAAAAGAAAGTTTTTACTCTGGTACACTAAAAATGTTGCACCAGTAATGCGATTTAACACAGTTTTTTATACTGAAGAACTTATACTTTCTTTGTCACTTTGTATGCTGATCATATGAAAAAGAGTGATATTATACATTCTAACACAGCATCAATTGTGAAACAATAGTTCTCTTCTTTAAAAAATTTAGGTTTTTTAAAAAGATATGAGGCTTGCCGATCAATATACCAATTTAAGATTTTGCTGGAGAAATAAGTTAGTGACAGAGATTCTGTATGGAAATGTTTATCTTGATATTTTTAAACAATACATTTATGTTACCAAACTATCTTTGTTTTTCTCTGATCTGAAAATGGATGGGTTCTTGCTATGTGACATCAATGATCGTCAGGCATGGTTATTGGTAGCCTTTTTCCTTTTGCAACAATGGCAAATTTTGAGGAAAACAAGACCCTTTCAGCAGATCAAGATCTTCAGTGATAAAGGGAGGGGGGATTATTCCATATAAACAAATATAACAGAAAAATGATCTTTGATTTCATTGGCAAACATTATACACAAGAAGGGTTTATCAGCGAAACTCGTGTTTCAATAGAATATAACTTTGCATTGCATTTCGATACAATATGGAAAAAAAGAAAATGTAGACAATACATCAAAATTGCGAACATTGATATTGAATGAAAAAACGATAATTTGCAGTGGACAGAATTTTTTTTTATACCTGCTTTAAGATTATAAATTATATAAAATGTATGTGCTGCTGCTGGCTCTAAATTAAGAGAAAAAATCTGAATATCCAAAAAGCTAGAAAGGGATTTAAAACATTTTGATCAACACAAAAAAAATTGAACAAAAAGCTGAAATGCAATATGATATTATGCAGTTCACATTATTTCTATCATTACGAGTTTTTGTATTTTTTTGTTGTTGGCATTGAATTCAAAGGTCCTTCAATTAAATAATTGATTGAATAATGAATTATTAGTTAAACATGTCAGTAAATAAAGTCCTAATATGCTTTTTTTTAAATAAAAGAGTGTTATTATGTCATAAAATTTACTAAAACAAGTTTAATCCAAATTCAAATTTACTGCTATAAAATGTATATATATAGGCAATTGAAATACAAAAGAATACAAAACTGATTTAAATACAGTAAATTCAGAAATATTTTGAAGAATGGACTAAAATAAGAGATTTATTATTCCTGTTTGGGAAAAAAATCTTCAATGTATCAATTAGAATGCGAGTTCTTATCATTTCGATAATCAATTTAATCGCATTATTTAAATCAATAAAAACCTCATGATATGCTTTTACAGTCCTGAGCTCGTCAAACTCTGCGCTTTACATTTCCTAGGCCTAAATGTGGTTGAAATACTGACAACTTTTAAATCTCTTTTTTAATGACATAACTAGATTATTACCATTTTAGAAAAAGTTGCATACAGTTATATATGTATCACATATCATAATGCTAGTTTGCAATAAGTTATTATTCAATTAATAAAAAAAACATTAATTATTTTTGAATTTATAGTTTATTTTTGATAGCCCAAAATATTTATCTGGAATCAGTACATACATCTATATACTTTACATTTGGGAACTTTTAAAATGAATTGTTTGCACAAGACAGTCATGGAAGACTTGGAAGTTGACAATTACAAACATAGTGACACCATCTATACAACCTAACTTTATTGTTGATATATGTAAACTGAATCTTAAATCCATTGCAGATTTTTTTTTTCAAATGAATTATTGTTTATTAGTCATTTACTTCAAATAATTAACCTGTACTAAAATAAAGAGATGTGGTATGATTGCCAATGAGATAACAATCTGATAACTATCAACCAGAGTCCAAATAATGTGGCTGTTAGCAGTAATAAGTAACTTTACAGACATCAACAATAAACAAAAAAACGGTTCATTGTTGTCAGGCTGCATAGGAAAAGAGGAGTTGTCACTTGGTGGCTTACAAGAAAATATAAGAAATATAATTATAATATAAATAAGAAAATAAGAGAGACAAAAAAGACAGGACTTAGCCACTGGACTATATATAAAGTGCTCCCTTATTAATCCTTATAGGAGCTGCTGTATACGTAGAAAAGAAAGATGCTGGGGATTAGCCACAGCGAGCAGCATTTTGAGACTTAGGAACAACAGAGTAGATGCGGGAACACTAAATATTGGTCAATCTGCCCTATTTTCTCCCACATATTAAGATTATTGCCTAGGGTGGAAATTAAATCCATTTACATTTACTTTATAGTTTTCTATGTACATTTAGGAAATATATTAAATGCAAAAATTGAAGCTGTAATGAAAATAGGGTATCACCAACCCAGTAGTCAGCACTTCTGTGTTGACAGAGATATTATTGATATGGTCATAATTATAAATTAACTGTTTACAAAACTTTGAAATTTGGAAATACTAAGGTTTTTCTACCTCAGGAATAGATTACCTTAACTGGATTTGGCAAAACTTTTAGGAGTTTTTGGTCCTCAATGCACTTCGGCTTCGTACTTTATTTGACCTTTTTTAACTTTTTTTTATTAGAGCGTCACTGATGAGTCTTTTGTAGACGAAACGCGCGTCTGACGCAAATACAAACTTTCATTCCTGGTATCTATGATAAGTTTATTTACATCGTTACAGCTAAATTATTTATAAGGACCTACACTGTAGTATAAGAAGTCCCTGGACCTAGCTATATATCTATTTCTTAGGCAAGGTGTATTATATGACTCATGAAAGCAATAAAATGCATTTGTAAAAACTAATTATACCTGTTGTTAAAACAATAATAACAAAAAAGTGGTTATTTCTAAGTATGCAGTAACAACAACGTGCATTTTAAGTAAACAAACATCAATGAACGACCACGTGTTTGTCTGCTATAATTGAATATTAAAGACCCATCAGCTTTATTTACACGACTTTTTGCTGAGGCATACGGTTGAATATGTTTGTTTACATTATAAGTTTTATAAAAAAAATGTATTAAGACTTCTGTATGCATGGAATTATAATGAATATAACATTGATTTTTACCGTAAAGAATTGAACACACAACATTCCAGTGGGGTACACACAAAACACTTCATACTTTTGTAACGATGGATGGTAACGTATAGCCACTTATATAACAGAATAGTCATTGGTTTTGCTATCCGAGATAATTAATAATTTGCATATTCATGGACGGACACGCAATTGTGTCAGCTTTTGTTTTGATGGAAAAATGTAATCATTGGAATCCCCCATTTTGACGTAGGAAACAAACTAATTTTCAATATTGGATTCAAGGACATTGCGCACATTGCCAGCGTATCATGCATAACCAGTCATGTGTAAATATCTCTTTTAATTTGTTTTCTACACTTACAATTCTATGTTTTAGTTAATTTTATGTTTTAATTTCCTGCTGAACGGAACATCGTTCTCAAAGATGACGAAGAAAAAAATATAGGTGCGCTGTTTGTAGGCGTCAACAATTTACATACGGGTACTTTTTGTGTCGACAGATTTACCTTTATCTGTCATGATTCAGGCGTTTACCGTTCAACTGTAATACAGTGCACAGTTAAATAAAAGAAAAACTCGATAGATCCTACTACAAAAATATAATTATAAGTATTGAACGCTTCTTATAGTAGTTTTATAAGATTAATGTTCTTGCATATGTTTGTGCTGTATTTCTGTCACGTGGTGTTGTCATTTTAACATTGTCGTCATAAAGCGGGAGGTTTTGCTAGCCATTACACCAGGTTCAACCCACCATTTTTTCTTAAAATGTCCTATACCAAGTCAGGAATATGGTAGTTCTTATCAAATAAGTCGTTTCTATGTATGATAGCGGTTTTTTTTGTTGCACTTTAGTGTTCTTGTTGTTCGTTTTTTTTCCTTATACATGTAGTTTCCCTCGGTTTTAGTTTTATATCCCGATTTGTTTTCGCTCAATTGATTTATGATTTTTGAACACCGGTATACTTCTGTTGCCTTTATTTATAGGGGTGTAAAAGTGTTGACCAGACCGTTCGCACATTTTTAAAATGTTCCGCGACTCATACAAAATGACTTCGGTCAACGCTTTTACACCCAAATTAATTTACATAAAAAAGCATTCAATTTTACCACCCTAACACCCATTTTACAAATGTATGAGATCATTTTAAACATATTTACCAATTCAAAATGATTGAATTTTAAGTTAATAACTTTTGCATTTTGCATTTTACAGAAAAGCATAGTATGTACTGATTTCCTCGAAATAATCAACAAACATAAATTCAAAATATGAAGATTCAGTAGCGTAGCCAATGAATAATGGAGAATTTCGTTCGTATGTTTATGCTGCTGAAGGAAGTAGCAGTTGGTGTAATTCGAGCATTTCTTGAAGATAACATCATTCCAGTTAGCTTCGAAATATTTCTACAACGACATATACACGACTTATATCATCTATGTTATACCAGACGTTGCTGTTCTTGTGGATTGTCTAAAACGTTTCCTACTAAAGCAGTGATAATAAAAGCTCAGTTAGACATACTTTTTGTCCAACAGCCTGGTGTAAACTGTTCATCAAATTCACGTTTCTGCTGTTGTTCGTACATTGCTACACCAAACATTCAACTTGACACAATTGACATTACACTGTGTATTGCTATTATCAAAAATTTTATAACTTTAAACCAACAACAAAATGACTGTCTGACTGAGATCAGAAATGTAAGAAACGAAATTTCGCATCTCGCACACGAACATGACATTGATAGTACCGAGTTTTATAGAATGTGGGGAAAAGTGACAAATGCATCTATCCACCTGGCTGCATATACCAATCATACATACTCTGCAGATATTCAAGATAAAATAGAACGTCTTCGGACCCGACCTATTTTAGCTGTTGAATATACAGAATCCCTGCGTGAAATTGTGAAATGGATGAAAGAGAATGATGAGGTGAGAACCCATGTATATTCTTGATGGCACAATTATGTATCTTTTTAATTACATTGAATGTAAATAGAGGTGTATACATGTAGGTTAAACATTCGAAATCTAATTTTATTTTTTCTTTCATCACCAAGACGCTAGGGAAAAACACTCACATTTTAGAAAGCGCGCAAATAAACAAGCACTAAGAAGGGTTAAAGGGTCATAAACGTTTTGGCATTCACCTTGGTAGAGGGAAAATATGAGATATTCTTTTGCATTTATCTTCGGCCGTGGTTAAATATGAAAACACGTTTGTGATGAAGACAATATACGAAAATTACACTGTCTATAAACTTATCATATCCAGCATACTTCAATAAGGTACAGTCAAATAATAAATAAAATATACTGAAAAACTATCATATGAAAAAAAAAGAAAAGAAAAATAACATTATATCTTTAAAATAATAATTTGATATACTTTTAAGATGGAAATATAGACAGACTCTACCACAATCACCCGGTGATATAGTTAAGTTATAAGAAAAAGTGTGGTTCCCGTCCTATTCAATTCTGACCCTTATACTCAAAGGCATTCATAATTTCATTAGAGAAAGTAATCCTATCACTCTTCCACCAACTCATTATTTATGATTTTATCCAACCTTAATAGATATATTTTCATATTTTAACTACATGTATCTCGAGTTGTTTAATTTCATAGTCAACCTGCAATGTATCTCTACTACATATATAAAAATTAATAATTCGGCAAACTTTATTATACTACTGACCTTCTGTTGTCTTTTTAAAGGATAAAGCGCTTTCTCGGATCTAGTTTGTTCTTTTAAGCAAGTCTGATTTTATATTAAAGGTTTGTCATCATTTGATTCGACAACACATTTTTTGTTGTAAAACTTTAAATTGTTGTGTCCGAAGCGCATTTCTGGATTTAACTTCATTATGACCGATCATACTTCCAAAAATTGAAAGCAAAAACTTGTAAACAAATTTAAGTCTGAACCGGTCATTGACTGCGTTAAATTCAGCCCTGTTCACATACCTCGCTTGCAGTAAATTCAGTACTGTTTAGTAGCTATTCAAACTATTCAGTATGTTGTAATCTGTAATATAAATAACAACTTTTGAACAGACTGAACATAGAATGAACAAATCTTAATCGACGGCTAGCGAATTTTCTGAACAGAACTGAGTTGATCGCAGTGGATAAGTCTAAAAAAAAAGTCTGAAAAACTGAAAATGACATAATAATTTATTGTCCAGACTTTTAAGAGCTGTTCAGATCAAAATGACCGTTCCATAATAATACATCACTAGTGCAAGCATCCATTACTACAAAAATACACCCAAAAGGAACATTGACGTATAACATAATCCATCTACGGTCAACTTTGCCAAAAGGAGTTGGACACTTTCAATTTTTTAATAATTTCACTATTTATGAATAGAAAATTTATAATTCATATCAGTACCTCACAGCGACCATTGAGCTGCTGATATCATAGGTGACTAGCAATCAACCATCAGCAGTATTCCTCCCCACCCCCCGACCCCGGGTAGAAAATTATAAATAGGGCTTTATTAATTTATTGTAAGTAAATTCCTTGATTTACCTTTATCAGGAACGCTCATACCCCAAAATATGAAAGCCAAGGATATATAGCCACCCAAATACGCAAAGAGCATCTATGGTCAGAAGGGATAAAAAAAAAACTAAATCCTCCTAAGTCAACTTTGCCTTTTTCTTTTTGTATAGTTTATCAATGTATCTGGTACGTGTTTCCCTTCCGGAAAATCTAATGCTTCGCTATGAATCCGCTTCTAATGTATGTTTAATGTTAAGATATCATAAACCTAGATTAATTTTCTACATGTGTCGGTCCAAAGGCCGGAATCTTGTCATGTGTTGTTTTATGTCATATCTTAGAGTTTTGAGTTATTATAGTTATTTGATGTAAATTGAAGATCTTTGATTGTTTCTGTTATATATATATATTTACATGTTTAATAGACAAGAGACGATTTTAGAGCTTAACGTATTGTATAACCACTTGCCTATTGCTGAAATGGAAATGGGGAATATGTCAAAGAGACAACAACCTGACCAAAACGCAGAAAACAGCCCAATGTCACAAATGGGTCTTCAAAACAGCTAGAAAATCCCGCACCCGGAGGCGGGCTTCAGCTGGTAATATGCATGTTACCCTCTTTTGGTAAATTGTGTTTGCAGAATTGCTGTCTCGTTGCATCATGAAATTTAGTTATTTTTTAAAAAGCGTATGCTTGTATATTTAATTACATAATTGCATTTAGATGTACGTATTTTCAGAATCGTGTAGAAATGGAGGAGAGATTGAAAAGGATTGAAACAAAAATAGATGAAATAAACATGACCTTCAAATTTCAACAAACAAGTAATAAACACGAATGTGAATTACCATACACAACAGAAACTCAACCAAAAATAGTTGAAGGTAAACTTCTAGCTTTATAGTGGAATTGAAAAATGATATGTTTATGAATTTGTCTCTTAATCGATATTTTATATAACCTATGATGGCTCAACCGCGACTAATTTTGGACGATGATTTTCAATAATTCAATATATTCACAGTGAGACCAATAAAGACGTAACGGATTTGCCGCAAACTACTTCGTTTATAATCTTATTGAAAATCGGCTGTATGAAACTGAACAACAATGTTTTGCCACCTAATCAACATGAATCTCTTTCCCACAAAACATTTTGGCATCATGAAAACTACTTTCAACAATCATTATAATTTTTATAAATAAAAAAAGTGTATGAAATATGGAATGATTGACAATATGACAACTCTACACTAGAGACAAAATTCCATAATTGTATGCATCTACAGGTCATTGTAGGGCCTTCAATAATTACCAAAACTCATTCGATATATAAAAATAAAAAGAAGTGGTATGATTGCCAATGCGACAACTATTCATCATTTCAAATGACTTGGATGTAAGCAATGTCAATCGTACGGCCTTCAACTATAAATTTTTTTTTTACAATAGCTGTGCGTTTTAATGTTCTCCTGCCTAGTGATTGTCAGGCTACCACAGTAACTAGAACAAATATTCAATGTACACCTTTTCGAACTGACCAGCACTGACACTAGTTACACATTTTTAAATTTTGTTTCCAGCTAAGGTTCGCAAAGATTTACTTTTAGTTTGAACAAAGGATTAGATTGAATGAATTTCCCTGGCATTCCCAATATCATATCGTGTGATTTTTACCAAAAAAGAAAAATAAATATAATGTTATTTAATTTAAGAGAGAGGCAAAAGATACCGAAGGGACATACAAACTGATAAGTCGAAAATAAACTGACAAAGTCATGGCTAAAAAAGAAAAAGACCAACAGATAAACAATAGTACACGAGACACAACATATAAAACTTAAGACTGCGCAACACGAACCCCACCAAAAACTGAGGGTGATATCAGTTCCTCCGGGAGGATAAGCAGATGCTGCTCAACATGTGGCACCAATCGTGTTGCTCATTTTAGAACAAACCCGGTATTAATAAAATTGACAATGGAAATGGGGAATATGTCAAACAGACAACAACCCGACAAAAGAACAGATAACAGTCGAAAATCCCGCAGCCGGAGGCATATTAGTCTAATTACACGGATAAGTGAGGTTTCGTTAAGAAGGAAACAACCCAAGTGTTTGTAATACGAATTTGTACAGACACCTTTTTATTTTGCTTTATTGTTCTGTGTCGATAAATTTCTTAGGATTTTAAAAGTTGAATTACTGGTACATGGCTTCTAAATAATGACATAATATGTAAAAAATTTAAGTTAAAAATAAAATCTCATTTGTCCCACAATTCTCAATAAGCCGAATTTCTCGTTTTGTAAACACGCATTATCCTTTTCAGTCCTTTCATGAAAGATGGCCGTTTTATCTTTTTGGTCTCTTTTTACGTAATCAACATGCGGATTCGGTATCAAAACATTACAGCTAATATTGGCCTCCTTCAAAATTGTGTTCAATTTAATTTCCAGAACGCTTAGTTGCACGTCTTACCAAATTTGAATTCCTTGCTGGTTGAAACATAGAAAAACATAAAATTAATGCTCAAAAACTTGCATGCTTTTTGTTTTACAGCAAATTCCATAATATTTGGGTTAATTAATACTAATAAATGGACAGGAAATTAAAACTGTCCACTTAAACAAACAAAGAGTATTACAGATGATATTTTGTCTATATTTGATTTAGTTTTATCAAACGAAGGATCTGTGTATTATTGATAATTCCTGATATTATTTGAAAAATATTTCTTAAGTTTGTAGTGATAATGTAAAATCACTGGTCATTTTCAAGGATTATAAATAGTGATCCCTTAATATATATATTAACTGTAACATATAAATTTATGACCAAATCTCGTCTTCTATCTGTGTGTTACACTAACTTAATTGTCAATGAACTGAACAATTGAGGTACATAAGTTACTTTTCCTATTATCGTAGTATTTATTGCATTCAAAAAAAATGTAATTATCCTCATGCTCAGCGCCGCTATTACAAAAACAAAGTAGACCTACTTTAAATAAACATATATGTTTTATTCGTTAATCATGCTACAAATCTCGAAGCCTTAACTTGACATTTTTCTAGTTTTTTTTACCACTAATGACATAATTAATGGAATACATTACACCGTTAAAAAAATTAGTACAAAGTATGTGTCACGAACTTATTTTGCATGCTACAGTTTGTGTAAAACTATTAGATATCTTAAAGACTACAATTCACTGTTAATTAGTACATTTATATCTACCCATGTATAATTGTATTTTACATTTGGATGATAATATAGTGTTTGTATTATTTGAGCTTTTGTTTTAATTTTCTATATATCAGTAATCTATATGCTACATCATCATAATATATATTAATGTGCAAATAATATACAATACTTATATCAGACCTCCATGATCAGCTCGAGTTCATATAGGAGTGTTGGGGGTGATAACCAGATCAAAATGATAAAAGCAAAATATTAGTATATTAAATTCTCTTGAATAGAAATAAATGCTGCATATTTTCTAATTTTTCGAAAGCATTTTCGTAAATGTAAGGGACTGCACATTAAACGAAATCATGTGACAAAGGAAAAAGTTAAATCACAAAAATACTGAACTCCGAAGAAAATCCAAAACGGAAAGTCCCTAATCCAATGGCAAAATCAAAAGCACAAACTCATCAAACGAATGAACAAGAACTGTCATATTCCTGACTTGGTACAGGCATTTTCCTATGCAGAAAGTATATTGACAACGATGTGTGAATAAAACAAACAGACATTACAGGTAAAAATGAAACATAGAGGTGCAGCAGTCAACAGCGTGTCACAATCTTAATCACAACAAAAAACGAACAAATATTTAACAAAGAAGCACAAAAAAGCATATATTACATTTAACAATCTCGTTAATTGCTTACTTATTTTTGTATTTTATTTATGTATGCCAAATCAACCCATAAAGGATCGAGGGATCTTAAGCTCTGGGAACGAATCATAATTTTAACATTAACTCTGGCGTAGAATAGCGTGTTTGACGTCAGAATGTAAATGTTACACAGGTAGAGATATAAAAACATTTTGGCGTTCAAAGTATGCAAACATTATAATAGAACAACAACACAATGGCGGGATGTTTAAAGTACAGAGACACATCATATGTATCAAAGAAACATAAAAAGTCACACGGACAAAGCACACAAGTAAAAATGAAAATAATACAAACAAGTACAGAGCCACGTCAAATGTATATCACCAAAAACCAAACAGTAAAAGTAATATTAATAAAGACAAATAAAAGAACACTTTAACACGTCATTAAGATGATAAACAGCGTCAGTACGCAGAATCTATACTTCAAGACCATCATGTATTATCTGTAAAGTTGATACGAAATATTTATTAACAAGGTCTTGATACCTTTCGATGAACTTTTTAAGAAAAAAGAAGAGACGTTCTTTTGACATACCCCTGGTTCATCAACTTTCTGCTCAGACACTGGTGACGTTTTACAAAGTCTTGAGTAGGAGCTGCAAGCTCTTGCATACCGAATAAGTTGGAAAATGTATATCCCGTAAGCAGGTGAAGTTGGTATATTGCTACTAAGGTGGGGATTATTAATAATTTTAAATTTAAAATCGTCTCGTTTGTCATTGATTCTAAAATGACTGTGTATGTCAAATTCGTGGTATAAGTCTAAAAATGAAGCGGAGGAAGCCGTGTCTGTTGTTTATTTAATTTCTAGTTCTGGGGGATATATTAATGGAACCCAATCAGAAAAAGATCGGATTGTTAGTAGAAAGAACATCATCAATATATCTGAAAGTAAAATTAAATAATTTGATCTTCTTGTTTTTGATAAGTGTATGAAAGAACTCCGATTCATATAAAAGTAAGAAGAGATCGGCAAGGAGAGGCGCACAGTTCGTTCCCATAGAAATGCCAACAATTTGTTGAAAAAGTCTTCCACCAAATTCAACAAAAATGTTGTCGATAAGAAACTCCAGCATACTGATCACTTGTTCCTCTGTGTACAAATGTAGTATAATTTACCCTTTTGTTCGCTATTAACAAAATATGTCTTATGGTATCCCAAAAAAAAAAAAAAATAATAGCGTATGCTATCACTTTCTAGCACGAAAACACTTTCTAGCATTATTTATAGATTTTGTTATAATGTTTATTTCAAAGAATACAAATAATTTAGTTAATTGTTGTTCTACAAATATGCTCAAATCCGTAACAAAGATAAAAAAAAAAAAAAAAATACCAATCGTTACTGAGGTACATATTCACTTTTATTTATAAATGATAGACGCCAAGTTGAACAAGCACGTGGTAATTCTTGCTTAAAATATCAATTTACAGACTAGAGTTTTAACTGGTAAGATATATAATTAAAAAAAAAGACAGTACTTAGAAAATATGTATCTGAATTACATTTTTTTATCCATGTTTTCGTTAAGTATGCTGGTGAAATGTGGGACAATTGTGGTATTTACTTTTTAACTTCAGTCGACATATCTCAATATTTGATATCACTTATCACTGTTAGTAACAAAACTATTTATATTATATGATAAAGATGTTCGAATATGGGGTATGTCATTTGTTTATTACAACATCGTCTATTGATTTTTACTTTCAATTTAATGTTTTTGGTTTGTTTATAATTTGCCAAAAAATACAATCCGACGTCCGTATTTGACTCTTTTGCTATCTTGCCGACACTACAGAAAGAAATGAAGTGAGTTTCTTTAAAACAACAACAACAAAAAAATGCACCCGCTTTTTCTCAATACAATTTTTTTTCAGTGCAGTATTCTATATTTGGTAATAATATAATTATTTTGAAAAAGCGGAACTGACCTATAAGTTGTGCTATATTTTGCAAAAAATTCAAATAAAATTATTATGACCAATTACTCAAAGTCTAACATATTTGTGTATTCTTCTATACTAAAACCATTATGAGAACTATTCTCTAGAAGAATTAGCCAAGTTACCATATACATATTTAAACTGAACATCTTGATATTGCATCATGTATGTTCTGGACGAGAACAATCTAACAATGAAAACACAAAATATGTCCTGTAATAGTGGTTGACCGGGATGGAGGGCGGAACATTTGGAATGCCATTGGATGATGGGAGAAATGACTACCAGTATATTGAATAGACACATACATTTAGCCTTGCAACAAGTCACTTATGATCCCATCAAATAATTGTCCAATTGAATCTGTTACGTGCAGAGCACTCTAAATGAATCATATTGAACATCCCTATTCTGATTTGACGTCGCTACGAATTTATGTATACCGCATTGCCAAAGAGTTGCCCCACTTGCACAAGAGCATTAATGGCGGTTGATATTATATCTAAGGTGACCAGTTTTCTATAACCATTCACCCTTGGAGTTGCCTTTGTCAAAATAATTTTGAATTGTTTTTGTGCGTGATGCTTCCATATAAAATATCATATATTTCAATGTCATTTCATATCCTCCGTTTAACAAATCAATCATAATATACTAGTATTATTGTGATTGTTTTAGAATCTCGAGATTTGTAATCGTAAAATATGTTGAGATGTATTGAAAAACAAAGGCGACACCGTGTCGTACAAAGACAGCAACACATAGATTAAAGTGCTTAAATCACAAAGATTATGTCTTGCTTTCAAAAACTTACTCTTGTATATAAGAGTAAAGAGTCTTACAATTTGAATATTATTAACAATGCTAAGTTTCTATTCGATATCTTAGGCTTTATTTTCTTGGTTTAAAATTCAAACCAACAAAGTTAGAATTATATTTGTCCACTTACATTTACATTTACATCGTTCCCTCAACAGAACCCGAACTTATTCTGTAAAGAAACATCAGCTGTAATACACCTGCACTATTGAGCTACATAAACTACCGGGTCGATTATGCTTTAAAATTTTGTTTGACTGGTGAGGGTTTTCCTCGTCTGCTTAATATAGTGTGTACTATTGCCGATTACCTTTAACTGTGACATCAATGTACATGTCAATCATTGTTTTTACTTCGGACTATTGTGGTCCACCCAAAGTCATACAGATATATAGTGTAACTAGTTCATTTTAAGGAATGTCACCCTGCCTCACCTTTTTATATGATAAATTGTTAAATTTCTTTAAAACTGTTCTGATTTCCACCACCAAATATTTTGTATAGCCATGATAAAATCAGTTAAGTGCATTAACGTGTTGGTCCTTCGATCATATTTCTTCAAACTCCAAAAGATCCACACCCCTTATATATGTCATGAGATACCAAGACCTACCAAGTACAAACATATTTTTGTTTGCGAGGGACAATATCATAAACTGTTTGAATACCTCTATTGAAACTGCTATGATTACCACCATTAACCATTATGATATATACTTTAAATTCCTATGAAATAACCTTTTTGATGCAGTTAATTTAGGGGGTAGAACTTGATTTTTGAGTTGAAGTTAATAACTAAACACAAAAATAGTCAATTTATTTTCCCTTTTGAAATTGTAGTTAATGAGTCAGACAACGTTATTGGTGAAGATGATGCAAAGTATTTCAAGCTGATTAGTGACGTACATCAACTGCGACAGAGTGGTGATAAAGATACAAATGATGGTATGATCTACTCCGTCCTTGTATATATTGTATTACACGGATCTGCCACAGAAGAAGATGTTGATTACGAGGTTCTAACAAACATTTATAATAGCATTTACAAAACTATTATTCCTTCTGAAACTGTTTCCATAGAATCGTGTCTAGCAGAATTGGTACCAAAATATCTGGACCAGGTTGATGAAAAGTTTACACCGTGCAGCATAAATATTGTAAAGGCTGTTATATATACTTTTGGAAATGAAAGTTGTGAATGCTTCGTCCAGAATTGCAGTCTCGATGTTATGATGGATTATGTGGTGCCGAGCGGTGCGAGTACGGATGATTTTCATGTAGTAGTTGACATATGCGTACTTGCATCTGCTCTTGTTCAGAGAATGAAAAGCAATTCCGATGCAAAGTCTGTCGGGAAGTATATATACAAATCATTTGTCGTTCATGAAAATGTGGAAATTTCCAATTTATTCATAGACACACTGGAACAAAGTAATGAAGATTTTACATGAGACCATATGATTTACCTTTTAGATGGTCTAACAAGAGACGGTACACAATTTTCAATATTCGATAAACAAGAAAAGTTGTTTAATTTATTTTGTCGTCAAATTGACAAATTCGGAAACACTGTTTTCCATTACCTAGTCACTCGATTTTCGGAATCAAAACAATTTCACGCATACATCAAGTTTTTCTGTGAAAGTAATATTGTGGTCATGCAGCTGGAAAACGATGATAACCACACTCCGATAGACTTTGCAGCTTATCAAGGGAGGTATGACGTCATTGCAGACGTCCTGAGTAATACAGAGAGTACAGAGGAAATAATTGCTCGAATTCTAATCATGGTGAAAGAAGGAGTTGATTCACTCCAGCGTATTAATTTATCAAAATCAAATGTTGATTCTAAGTTGCATATTTCAACAAAGAAATGTATAACACTAGGTGACAGTCAAGATTTTGAAAATATTCTTGATATAATAGGAAGACAGGAAAATGTCTGTTTATCTGGCAGTGATACCAATGACGGAGAGGAAGGAAAAAACCCTAATGACAAAGAGGAAGCAAAAACCCCGAATGACGGAGAAGCAGAGAAAAAGTCTAACTGCTCAGATGATATATCAAAAACTGTTGGAGATAAAATTCTGCGTTTGTTTACCGACGTAAAGAAGGGCTTGAAAGCAATATCTGACATTCCTAATCTACTGACAACTATTAACCAGGCGACACAAATTAAAGACGTAGATAAAGACTAATGTTGTAAAAGTAAAAAAGAAAAACATTGTATGCTAAAAATAAAAATTACTCATCGATATAGAAAACTAACATTGGCTACGTACCACAAGCCAGTCCTCTTCAAATTTTTTATTCATTCAAGACCGAAAATGAATTACTCTTTATTATTTCAATTTCCAAATAGTGAATTTTCCTTGTTTGAACAGTAATTTAGCAGCAAAGTGCTTTTATAATTTAGAAGAAAGTTCTGGATACAGTGGGAGTACTGTTCCGGGAACCTATATATTCTGACTAGATTTTTATCCATTCATTTCAGTGTAGGTAATTACCTTGAACAAAATTAGATGATGTAAGCCTTTACAGTCACTTCATTATGACCTTAAAATTTTAGGTTATTGAATTCGATTTTACTATAAAAAGATAATTGTGATTAATGAGAAGATATTAAAAAAGTAACAATCCACTAAAACAAACCACCCAACACTTAAAAAAAATCTACTACATTTCAAATTCTTAACGGTCGGGGAAGGATTTTAGTCAACAAAGCGAAACAAAAATCATAAAGATCTAAATATTCACATATACGATCTTTTATATTTTTATCAAAATGGCAAATATACCCTACAAACCAACCAGATACTAAATTGGGGGGGGGGGGGGTTAGTAGCCTATTATTCTACTAGTAGTAACAAAGACGATTTGAGATGAAACGATATCGTGCTATGTTAATCACGAACACACTGAACGTTAATTGGTAATGGTCAATGAACGATTGGTTAATGCGTAAAGATGATGTTTATGATGTTTATGATGTTTAGACAATTCTTCATAAAATGTTTTTCACCGCTTGTACACGCAGTATATGCATGCAAAGATATATCATAAACATTAGCTACGTTTTAGATACAAACAAACATGAAGATCAAAAGAGAAATAAACTGAAGACCACATTCAATGTTTAAAATGGAAATGGTCGATCTATTTGCAGATATTGCTTTTCATGAAGTTGATGTTTCTTTTCTTCTCTATGTTTGTTTGTATGTTTTGTTTTGTTTTCGTTTTTTTTTAACGGTGCTTTAACCAAAAATATCGATCTTTTTGTGTAATGTTTCAGTTTTTGGTAAAGGAACTATTTGTAATCGGTTGAAATATCAGACTTGTCAGTAATGTTGTCATTTAATATAATTGTTGTGTGGTAGTTTGCTAATTGGTGACTATAAAAAAAATTATAAACGTCAAGATTGAAATGTCGACAATAAAGGAGTAAGTCCGTATAGGGCCGATTTTGGCCTCAAATTTCAGGTTAATCTGACGAAAGATTTTGAACACTTTTTAAACACTTAACTGTCTATTTCAGTTGATTCAATTAGTTTATGTGAAAAATTTTAACTGATTTAGTTATTAAAAACGCTCCGATTTAAGCTTAGATATGACAAATCTATCAAATATGACGAAAAATGTCACTTTTCAGATGGTTTTTGTCAAAAATGAAAGTGGCCGCATCCGTGTTCATCCTCAACCTTTATATATGTTATGTATTATCATCAAATACAACTTACATTTCAATATTAAGAATAAACACAAATGCGGCCACTTTCATTTAAGACGGAAACCGTCTAAAGTTTAACTAAAATGCTAAATTTGTGAAGATTTCAGTAATTTAGCATGACTTGATGATTCTAGTACCCAATATATGTGCATTGAATTGTCAAAAACAGCCCATATTTACGTAGCAGAAGCATTATACTTACCATTAAATTACTAAAAGTTTACATTTTAACAATTTTGTAAAACTGCTATATTTTGGGGCCAAAAAGGGGTCTTACTGGACCTACTCCTTTTGTAAGATACAAACAAACCAATAAATCATTGTTATCTTTGAAAAAAGAATTATTTACAATTCAGATATCAAAGTTCATTATGGCATGGTATTGGTTGCAAAAATTTGATATTTCTCATTTAAATGCAATATTTCTTATTTAATTGGTATATTTCTTCATTTAAATGCAATATTTTTTTATTTGAATGGTATATTTTTTCATTTAAATGCAATATTTTTTATTCAAATGGTATAATTTTTCATTCAAATGGTATAATTTTTCATTCAAATGGTATAATTTTCATTCAAATGCAATAGTTTTTATTCAATTGGTATAAAATGTCATTTGAATGCAATATTTTTTATTCAATTGGTATAGTAGTTTTTTATTTATATGCAATAATTGCATTATGGTTTATTCTTTGACGTTGTAAGGTCAAATTTGCAACAACGTTTGTGATTGGTCGGAAATTGTTTGGATTTCTCCCCTTTCTTTCTAAACATGGGTGACCAAGAAATAAAAAACGCGTCAGAATATCGCCCCTCTAACTAAATCTAACGTTCGTGCGAGTCTTGCACTGGCTGTTAAAATCTTGTGGTCATAACTAGTATTTCTATTGCAAAATTTCGATGGTCAAAACGTTCGGTCCACTTTTCAAAAACCGTTTCATTGTATAAGGATTTATATGCAAGTATATCGGTTTTTTTAAAAAGATTAGACACCGTTGGTTTTCCCGTTTGAATGGTTTTACACTACTAATTTTTTGGGGGCCCTTTATAGCTTGCTGTTCGGTTTGAGCCAAGGCTCCGTGTTGAAGACCGTACGTTGACCTTTAATGGTTTACATTTACAAATTATGACTTGGATGGAGAGTTGTCTCATCGGCACTCATATCACATCTTCTTATATCTATATACAACCGTAAACCAGACGTTTCTCAGACTGTTTTCTTTTTTTAATAAATTCTTTGCCGCGTATTGTGTACTGATTGATAACTCAGTCTGGGAGAACAAGATTTATTTCAGTGCCAGTTGTAATTAGGTAGAGCAAACTTCCAGTAATTGCAAATACTCTTATGTCGGTGCTTTGTGTCTATTGTCTTAATGTTACTTTTTTGTGTGTCTAGTACCGATCTTTTGAGTTAATTTGCTGATTTGTGCTGGTTGTTATTTTATTGTACTGTTACACCATTGTCCCAGCTTCGGGATGGGTTGCTCACAAACATGTTGTTGTACTGTTACACCGCTGTCCTAGATTAGGGGGAGGATTGGGATCCCGCTAACATGTTTAACCTCGCCACATTCTGTATGTATGTGCTTGTCCCAAGTCAGGAGCCTGTAATTCAGTGGTTGCCGTTTGTTGCTTTGTTATACATATTTGTGTTTCGTTCATTTTTTTTTTAACATTAATTCAACCGTTAGTTTTCTCGATTGAATTGTTTTACATTTTTGATTTCGAGGCCTTTTATAGCTGACTATGCGTTGTAGGCTTTGCTTATTGTCGAAGGCCGTACGGTGACTTAAAGCTGTTGATTTCTGTTCATTTGATCTCTTGTGGAGAGTTGTCTCATTTGCAATCATACCACATCTTCGTTTTTATATCCACCCTGCTATATTCTTTATTTGCCTGTCCCAGGGATGGAGCTTGTAGTTTAGTGGTTGTCGTTGCTTCCTGTCTCGACTCATATTTGATATTTTGTAAATTGTTTTGTTATGTATAATTAGGCTGTTAGTTTTTTCGGTTGAATTGTTCACACTTTTCATGTCGGGCCTTTTATAGACGACTTTACAGTATCAGGTTTTTGTCATTATTGAAGGCCTTACGATTGTCTACAAAAAGCATTTGTCTACATGACCGCAAAAAGCTCTACAGAGCTTATGTTTGTAGTATTTCATGTAACCCGACTTAAAATAAATTTTTCTTATCTTATCTTATCTTATCTATAATTGCTTACATCCACTTCATATTTGAACTCCGGTGGATAGTTGCCTTATTAGTAATCATATTCCATCTCTTCATTTTTATATCATATACGTGACTTCTAAACTCGTGTTTTCCTGAACAAGCATGAAATAATTTTCACTGGACGTTACAATTAGCAACAAACAATCAATCAATTTATACTTGTGTTAAATAAGAGGAAAACCATTTGATATTTATTTATTTGTTGGGGTGGGGAACAGAAGGATTTCATATATGAATATGGTTGCCTGGTAAGAGCTCAAAAATAGGCATGATTAGCGACAGATTGAAATGAATAATAGTGCCCTCTCTTCTCTTCCCCATCCTTCATCTATAAATTCAAACTGACCACCACGGAATAGACCAATAGTGTTGAAAGTAGCGTTAAACACCAATCAATCAAAATCCCTTCCCTAGAATATCAAATAATCGTCCCTTAACTGTTATTGTCCGTGTAGTTCTTATATCTATCCAGCTTATCGTTCTACAGGGATGTCCTACTAAGGCTGTCATACCATAAAAACGTTTATAAAACAGCTCACATTCTAATATATCTGCATTCATAAATTTATTAATTTTATTTAGACTAAACGGCGCCATGTTTGTTATGTGCCTCTGTCGTGAACCTATCAAAAAAGAAGAGGTGAAAGAGAGCCAGAAGATCTTCCCAATGCAAAAAAAAAACAGAAATGGACTTCTTCTGGCTCACTTCCGAAGAACAAAAAAAACAAAACGCGCCCCATTGATATGTTTTAAAAACACCTTCCCCTACCCTTTTTTCCAAAAAATGGCATTATTAAATATATAAACATATATATAATTACCAAAATTAAAATGCTATTGTATTTTTATAAGACCTACTTTATTACATGACCTGGGACTAATGGCATCAATCTATAAGTCCTAGCATACATTAATTATTATAATATGAATATGTTTCTTGATTAGATAACCACATATGATGCTATGCATGATCGAGTCACCATTTATCAGGACATGAATTGGGTTTACATAGAGAGGATAAGGGACGACATCAGAAAATCAATGAAGGATAAAAAAACTTAATTCAAATAGTTTTTTTTGGGGGGGGGGGTCAAAATTGCTGCAAATTTTGTTTAATTAACATCGATTTTATATATATCCTTATTGTTCAATCAATTTTTCCCAAATTAAGTTATCCTACATTGAACTTTTGATGTCGTCCCTAATGTGCAAAAAAATAGATAAGGGGCGGGACCAATCCTATAGATAACATAATAAAGAAATGATGAAATATACAGAATACGTTGATTGACTTTTGGTTGCCTTATGTCCAGTGGTAAATATGTCACGCATGTTTAGGACAAGTATAATAGAGATCAAAGGATAAAGAATAGAGTGAAATGGTAACAACTAAAAGATATAGAATTATAGAAACGATCTTTGATCTGAAACCCCTACTCTCACACACACACCATAACCATTACTGCCAATACTCGCATATATACATCTCTATACAAATATCTTAATTTGAACCTACTCCCCCCTCTAGACACCGAGGTTTTGGATCCGCCCCTGTTAAATGTGTCTAATTATATACATTTTGTACGGGTCTAGATAATAGCTAAACGTACAATCATATAATTTGTTGGATACCTAATTATATTATATAATGTGTCACAAAATAAACTTGTATACCCCCTTCCCAATGCAGTATTGAAAAGTAAATCATTTAAAAGTCCTGAAGATAAAATATGTTTTGAAATATGCCCTGCATACTTATTTATGCAAAGACATATAGTAATTATTGAACTACTGTGGGGCTTGAAAAAAAATCTATTGAAGGGATTCGGAGACGAGAACAGTAAAAAAAAGCTCAGCAACGAATCCT